CCCCCCTACACTATTGTTCATCGTTTCCGGCGCCCCAGGAAGATACACCCACTCCCTCACAACAACGCCCCCCGCCCCAGTCTTTACCCAACCCGGATGCAACGCCGCCGCCACCAACCCATCTGCCTCATGGTGGAGATTAATCTCGTGAATCAACCATTTCCCCGCGGCCAGAAGGTCTGGAAGACGAGGAGGGGACCGATGGTGTTGGTTTCGAAGGCGGAACGGAGGCTATAGGTGGTGGTGGTGCGGAGGAGAATTTTCTGTATCTTGGAGGGGGAATAGCGGTGATGAAGTCGAGGTGGATGATGTGTAGGCTGCTGTTGGTGTCTGGGGTGATGGTGGAGATTTTGGAGTTGAGTGAGGTGGCAGTCTCCTCGTTGCGGACGGAGGCGATGATGGTAGTGGAGGGCCGCTAGAGGGGGGATTTACGAGCCCTAGGCCGATGTCTCTGTTGGCGCCGATGGTGTTGGGGACATGGTGATGTGATGGGTAGAAGATGGAGGGATATGGTAATGGGAAGCTGTTCAGGCAAGAGGATAAACCTGGAAAGGGGAATGGAAGGAGAAGAGGGGAAATAGGAAGCAGGGAGACTGAGTGACAAAGTGAGAGGGAGAGGAGTATACCCTGCTGGATTTGAACAGTGGACAATATTGTTCATTTCTTTGTTCATGCCCGACATAATAACTTATCTGTATCCGAGACGAAATACTCAGCCGAGCCCACCCGATCGGCGGGCGTAACGTAAAATTTGCAATTATCAAATGATTTCCTTTCCAACATCTTGTTGGAATATATCTACCATGTTGGTCTTCTAGCATTCTTTCCCGGATACGCTGGTTGAGATTGTCCTGCAAAGGTAAAGAGCAATATCTAGACGCTGTGTAGTGTTAAAACCACCGGAGACGAATGTGGATGAGATTATATACGGTCGGTAGAGTCTAGCTAGACAGACACTCTACCGCGCCTTCTGCTTCACTCCTTCCCTCAGTGTACTTCCCATCAGGAGCACAATAAGATACTGCACGCCCTGCAACATCAACTTGAATACATACTCCAACCACGTCACCTCCAACACATTCCCACCCTTTAACCGACTTTCAGCAACTTGGAAGGGAATCTTCGCGCCCAACTCCTTGACAACCCCAAACGCACTTGTAAAGGCATCCTCGTGAAACCCGTACATCGTCCACGCGCCTACATAGCTAATACCCCGTGTACCCTGGATCTGTGGCAGCAATGTCTGCGCCTTGACCGCAGCAGGGGTAAACAGTGGGTGCTCATATTGGTAAACCCCCTGGATCGTCCGCTCATCAGGCATGAACATCGGATTCATCGTCACCAAGACCGATCCGTACTTGGAGTGTGAGGCACCCTGGGCGCGGTTCATGTTGTAGGTAACGCATACCTGGTCTGCGGAGCCGTTGCTGAGGTAGTTCCATGTAGACCAGACCCTTCTGTTTTGGGGGAGGAGAGTCTCGTCAGAGTGGAGGACTGCGGTATTGGTGGTTGTTTCAAAAGCGGAGAGGATGGATTTCTCAGCTGGAGTTGCGGAGGCAGAGATCATGGATAATGCCTGAGGTGCCGGTGTGGCAATGATAACATGGTCGTAGGTGACTGTTTTGCCCTTTGCGGTGGTGATATGAACCAGACCAGACACAGAGTCATTGGTGACGGACACCACAGGCTCATTGAGAAATACTCGCTCGGCGGGAAAATCAGCCATTACCACCTCAACGTAGCTTTTGGCGCCGTTGGCCACCGAGAGCCATTCTAGTCCGCGCCCGAGAGTGTTTAGAAGGTTGTGGTTATACCTTCACTGTTAGTCTGAGAAGCTCGAAAGGAGGAGGCATACATACAGGAATCTTATTAGGGTCACAGCCGGAAATTGCAAGTCGCACTTCTCCGGACTTGTGCTCCACGTCGACGCCGTCAAAGGAATCAGGTAGTTGTCCCGGAAGAAAGCCGAGTACCCCTCTCTCTCGAGATACTCACCAATGGAGATGGTATTGTCCTCGTCAGGCAGGCGGAGAAGGTCTGGTGCAAAGTGGTTGAATCGCACCATATCAAACACCATCCGCCACATATCAGGAGAGAAGAGGTTCTTGCCCTGGGCGAAGAGATTCCTCAAGGAGGACCCGGCCCATTCAAAGGGTCCGGACTCAGAGAACCGCGACACACTAAACGACATTTCTGAAGGGATGGTTGGGACATTGATGGTGTTAAGAAAGTTGAGAAAGTTGGCTGTGCAAGTTAGACGAGTCTAAGCAAAGGCAAAGGTAAACGAACGATAGGTAGAATTGTTCAACACAATAAATCCGGTGTCGACGTTGACGGCATCGCTCCCTCTCTTGAATTGTACAGTGTTGATGTGCCCCCCCAGACGAGAAGCCGCCTCGTAGAGATGGACTTGGTGAGGCGAGTGCTTGTGCAGCGCCCAGAGGGCGGCCATACCCGCTGCACCACTGCCGATGATGGCGATCCTCTTGCTAGAGACGGTTATTCATGTCGCCTGAAGAGTAAAGCTTTGGCATACCTGTCTTGCATGGTGTATGATCAGAGCAGATCTGTTTCTAGGGGATGAATACGGACTTGACTACCTGCAAGTCACAGACTATATGTAGTCCCAGGTATTGCTCCTTTTGGATTCTCACTGTATGACAGCTGGTCGATGCAGCCCAAGGTATCAACATGCCATGTTTTGCCACTGCATGTAGTACAATCAAATCGGTAGTGTTACGTTCGTGCCTTGCCCTGCAAGTGTGTCCAAGCACCACATAAATCTTCCATCTGTCAAGACAGCTTCGCCTGGGCCAAGTGAGATGCCGTGACACCGAAGCTGTGTTTCGTGTGACTGGCACCCAGCTGATGGAGTATGTTGTGATGGGCGGCTAAGCCAGGCCATCTCCAAGTTTGGTGGCTGCACCATCCAATTAGGATACCACGCTGCAAGAAAAACCAATGGGGATGATCGGGGTTTTCACGTTCCCGGTTTTCTCCTGTACAACGATAGTTTTTGAATGGTTCATGCAGGCGTAGGTTGGCAATGGCTGTAAGTTTGTCAAACTCATAGTCTGCAGCTCGTCACAGAGAGCATATAATTGGACAACAAGCGGGCTCTGTGATGCAAGGTGCATATGACTTTTCGCAACGACGGCCTCGCCGTTCAATCAAGCGAAGCCATTGACCAAATGTGGAATGTCACGATGAGCGGGCGTCGGATGTTGTATCCGTGCTCCTTCCGCCTGTAACTGGCCGGGAGGCGCCTGTCGCGGAATACGATAAGGAATGATCGACTGTTTCCGATCTGAGCACTTGGCTAAGAGATGCATGATCATCTATGAACATACGAAGATCAAGTGGAATCACAATCAACCCACTATCGACTTCATTCAATCATTATTCACCAAGGAGAAGCCGAGCAAGACCGAAGAACTGCAGCAAGACCCACACAAGAACCAGGTGAGCAACCACGACTTCGGCCTGAAGAAGGTTTACGCTCCCCAAAGCAAGGTAGCGGCTGAGGACCAGCTGCAGCATATGCTTCCGGTACGCCCTCTGCTCCGCTTGGCTGCAACATGCCAGCACGTAGCAGTCCAGGGCAGAAAAAGAACGGAGCCCGGTGCTTGATGCGGCCCGCCCCTTTCGGATACTATTGATAACCCGGAAAACAAGATCGGCTGGAAGAGAGAGTGTGATGGTTTCCGACAAAGAAACTGGCGTTGCACAGACAAGATCACGCAGCACATCCATGTCCGACACCCGCAGTACGCCACTTCCTGCCAATAGCGCGAAGGCGGCTTCGGCGGTGAAGGCGCGACTCTCCGCGAAGGAGGTGTAGAAGTCGGGCCGTAGAACGCGAAGCTCGAAGATAGGGTCTAGTGATTCGCTGGAAAGTCTCCGAGCCAAAGGCGACTGCATGATTTCGATCGTATCGTTGAGACATAAACCTGCAGCGTAGTATCGCACAGTAAGTGGTCCAGAGGCGTTTGCCACTAGATATCGCAGGTATCCCCGAAAGAATGGTTCCAGCGACCGCTCTATTTGACTGGCGCGTCGACTTATTGTTTTCTCCAACGGTGCCGGAAGGGACCAAACCCTCAATCGTCGCTGCAGGTGCAGCTTTGCAGCCTGGAAATAGATGCGTGGCTCCGTCAAAGCTCCCACCCATCCCCACGATAAGATCAGCTGACATCTCTGGGAAGTGGAGAGAGTTGCCAGGCGGATCGCCGGTCCTGTGGCGCGGATAGTGGCGATGAGTTGGACGCGGCGATCGGAGGCAACTAGTACGATCCGGCTGTCGATCGACTGTTTGTTTCCTTCAGCACCCGCCAGTAAGGGGTCGGCGGTTGTCAGGGTATAGGCCATGCCCTCTCGGGGATTGAACGGCGAGACATGGAAATCTTTCGGCCAGAAGCTGGTGAAGTGATTCGATCTGGAACCTGGCGGATCGACAGGATCGGCGTTACTAGCTCCATCTGACATTCCAAGAGATGCTCTCAGCAGGTACATGTGTCGCTCGCCAAAGTTGTTGTTCACCTCCAAGATCACTGCCGCTAGTGTTCGGCTAGCCGAATATAGGTACCAGAATGAAACGGGGTTGAAGACATGGCCCAGTACTTTCGGTGCAGTGAGGAGGTAGACGTAGGGATAGTCCTCGTCATGGAGATGCTCGAGTCTGTCAGCGGATAGAAGATATCATGGGATGGTTAACGTTACCTGACTGTGCAGATACTGACGAAGCTTGCCATGCAGCCCTGCATGATTGCCTCTTTCCAAATAATCTCCCGCATCAACCGTGAACCACCCGGAGCCAACGTAGGGAAGATTGGTCCTTTCGAGATCGTTACCCTGCCAGCGAACCGGCAACACTATCCATAGATATGAATATGAGAAGGAATGAACAACTGGGTACACTCTAGTATGTCGGACCCGGCATGGGTACACCACCGGCTCAGGAATCTCCTGCGTATTGGGAGACATGGCACAGGAGAGGTCACCCTCCGTACGAAGGGATTGTAGCTTTCGAGTTGCCTTTGGAGGGATTCGACCAACTTCGGGCAATGTGACGGATGTCGGCAGGGAGTCTGTAATCCTATAAATACACCCTGCACCTGCGCTAATCAGCCCTGTTCCATGGATCAGGGCCCGTAGTACGGCCGGTACTGGATGGCCAAAAACAGTATCTGCATGGATACCTTACTAGCTCCATGTGAGTATCCCTTCTTGTCAGATAATCCAAGCCCGCCTGCATCTCTGCATGGCCGTTGAAGGCAATTGCACATCTTGGACGCTCCACTGAGATATAGTGTTGGACTCTTGGAGGATTGGTTCGTTGGGCATCATGATCGCGTTGCACAGGTAGGCTGGACGGCTATTGCGGCTTGCGTTCGAGAAACCACCTGACGGTGGAGTCGAGGATCTAGAGACTAATGGTCAATTAGAAGGTATCGCTGAGATTTTGAAGGTTCTAATGAGAGAATAGTCTTGATTGACCGATACCTTGAGAACGCGAGGGGCTCATGACGGTGAGCCTGTTTGTTGGCAGATGGAAAGTGAAGGCTACCCGGTCCGAATCCCAGGATGGCCACCATTGCAGCAAACCAACCAAACAGGGAGCGACCAACGAATGTCTGGAATCATATTTCAGAAGTTCACACATTCTTTGCTTGGAGGAAATATAGCATCTCATCGATAGAGCACACATTCCCTCAAATCAGCACACCCAGTGGTCCAATCATTTGGGACAGGCACCTGACTACTGGAACTGGGTTTGTTCAAGGTGGCTAAGGTAGAGGGGTCAATAACTGCTTCCACTTTCTGGAAATAAAAACAGGTATTTCGAGCTGCGTTCTGAACAGCTTAATCATCTTATTCATCTCTGTTGGGCGCCCGATGGAACCAGCCATCGCCAATAAGATCGAGTATGATATTGATCAGGCAATGCTGACTCTGTTGGTACGCCGATGACTTGAGCAGCATGGCTGTTGCCTGGGCCACAGTCGAGTTCAGGTATTTAGCAATTATTTGAAGTGTACAATGTACCTCGAGATAGCGGGATAGAAGCTTATAGTAAGAAAAATATGTATCTCATGGAGGGAACAGGAATCATTGTACTCGATGCAATCTCTCTAGTAGCCCTTTCACCTCTACAGAAGGGTGATGTCGTTGTAAAGTGTCAGAGAAATGTGTCACTAGTCACCAGTGCTACATAAATTTATTCCCGAGGTATTCTGTGTATCGCACCCCCGATTTTTATTGGGTTCCGTTTAGAGGATATATTGAGTGTGCGACATACGACATTATATGACATGGGTATAATTCAGATAGCCTACAAGCGTGGTTGTAACCAGATCTATAGTCAGTTGTTTCGTTGATTTTGTAGTTACTTTCGCTGTGCTCAGACGTGTGGGGATTCACTTGTGCTACGGCAACAACAGTGTACAGCATCGAGATCACCCCGTTCCTTCTATAAATCTAGGCAAGAACCCCAACTGTGATCGTTATCCTATTGTCAGCTTTACGAGTCTGAGTACTACCATCCGTCAACCCCGCTTCCAAGATGAGGATTACTAGTCCAAGAGAAGGTGATACCATTTACCTGGAGGAAGGTGACTGGCACATCAGATGGGACGATGTTGCGGAGTAAGCTGGCCAGTCTATACTATACCATTGATCATGATTTAGCTAATGGAATCAGGGGTGAGCCTGAGTGTGTCAACTTCTGGCTCACCCACTATACAGATGAATCAGATCCATCCCCTGGCAGTTACAATCCGCACCAGATTTTCAGCAACATCAATATCCACGAACAAAGCGAGACCGGACCTGCCCGCAGTGTTTACGAGGAGATTAAACAAGGGTACGTTTGACACATGTCTTTATCGCTTATCATGCTGACGGCGTCCCAGTTGCAAATGGAGAATCTGGGCAATGGAGTGCACGAAGACACCTGGAAGAGATATGGATCCAATTGCGGAGTCTGAGTCGTTTTGTGTCAGACGCAAGCGAAGCAGGGCTCTTAGAGAATCCACTCCGACCCAAGAGAGCGATGAAGATACTAAATGAGTCAACTTGCTTCCAAAACAGGAAGGGTCTGAGGATTATTAATTTTGCTGCTGTCAACGGTGATCCTTTGTCCTTGTTTGGCCTGCCTTGCTGTGGGTTTTCCCCTGAACACAGGTTTTCCCCATAGCGTTATGCAAATGCAAAGGCTAGCGAGCTTCTGATTAGTTTAAAATATTTTGAATCTCCCCGTGAAGAACTAACCGCAATTCGTTGGCAGTAATTGGTGGATACAAATCCGCTGATATTGTATCCCATCTCTGCTATTTAACCTCCATTCATAGCTCTATCATGTCGGAATCTGGATTCCAGTTTCTAAGCTCATGTTTTCTCTGACATTTGTGAGATGCCTCGCAGATATCCGAGGGATGTCCGATCTCCAGGCAGCCGCCAACCTGGATGACTCATAGATGACTAAGGGGACGTCTCCTCAATCTATCTTTCTCCTTTGATCAATTCGCGTCTCTAGGGATATACTCCGTAGTTTTGGTCAACATATCGATTCGATCGAATTGCGACAGACCCCGTGTCCTAGGGTGTTGGCCACTTTGACAGTGGCACCACTCAGTGTCCTATCATCGACGTTCGATGGATGGCCCATCTGATGAGGCCTACTCTCATTGGCACATATGGCTCAAATACAAAGATAGGATCTGCCCTTTTCTCCCAGATAGGAGGGATCTTGCTCCTCAACTTGAGTTCCTCGATCTTATTGCAGACTCCATGCACTCATATATGTTCAAAGTACGAATCGATGACCACATCTACGCCCTGAAACTGGTACGTATAACGCGTCAGTCTCCCTCAAAAGCGATGCTTAAGGAATACCTAGTACACTATCCCTGATCCGGGGTGGTCGTCCTCCGATAAATTATCCCGGGTCGAGGATGTCGTGACATCAAAAGATCCTTTCGTCGCTGAAAGTCGCGTCTATATGTCTGGCTGAGTATGAACTGGAGGGCCAGATCGGTCCGAAATGCCATGGCTGGCTCACGATTACCAGAGAGCAGGAACAAGCTCTAGACAATAGGTTTAACTTGACAAACGGGTATACTTCGACCGATATTGGGTTGATCTACGAGTAGAAGAAAATGGACCGTCGCCAGTGGTTAGGCTTTCGTCAATCACCGGAGAAAACATCCGACCCCGTTCGAGGCTTGTTACTCGATTATATCGACGGTACTGGTATTGCAAACGGCACTTTGAATGCGTCAGGGGCATCTAACCTGCGAAGCCAACTAGATCGTCTTCATTCCCTGGACATTGCCCATGCGGACTTGTACCCGCGGAATATGATGGTGTCGAAAGATGGAGATCCATATCTGATAGATTTCAGCTCAGCGAAACTGTGGCCTTGCCGAGGCTTCCAGAAGAAGAAGAAGAAGATATTTGATGGATACCTGAGAGAGGAGAACTCCGCACTGGAGTACTACTTGTTCCAACTCCAAAAGGTCAGTGGAGGACATGGCGTGTTGACATGTTAGCTAATAAGTCGCAGCTGAAACGCCATCGTGGGTTGAAGATCAGCGATGCCAAAAGCGACGAGGATGCCTATGGTGGCGAGGTCCCGTGGACCGTTGAAGGGTTTAAGGACGAGTTCATTGACTGAAGATGCACCTATACCCTATGTTCGTCCTGGAGGCTGAAGAAACATCAGAGTACTTCATCTTTCTACCGGTTGGCTATTGTCTCACCCAGATGATTCTGGCTTCTTCCAGTTCCTGCGCGGGTGGATTCTTACTATGAACCCTCGATACTTCAAGTTGGATAGCTAGGTTCGGGCGCTCTTGGGCATTTACTATCGATTGTTCTCAATTCTTTAGAGCCAAAGCCAATCTGCTGGCAAAAACTGCAGGCCTTCGATTTCACACAACAGGTGGCTTACTCATGGCTGGGAATTATAGCGAGGCTCCGTGGTGAAAGGTTGTCGCAACGCTAACATATAGCCACAATGAACTGGTTGCACTCTTCCCTGAATGGATAAACGTAATCTTGTGAAGTATGTTCAGGTGGACAGCTTAATGAGAAACTCCATTGAATATGCAATCTGGATTCGATATAGCTTACTGTGAACAACAATGAAGTGCACTTTCGACGATCCTATTGCGAAATGTCTGTCATGGCACAGTATATTTTATCCCTCGTATTTACAACCACCTACAACATTTCTGACAGTCCAGTGCAGGCAACCAGCATAGGTGTATTACATCTCGTATTCTGTGTTTGGTTGCCTGCTGCACCGCCAACTGCGGGGTGCAGCCGGGAACCCTAAATCCTTAGTGTATCCTTAGCATCCTTGACGGCTATTTAACCATCCCTGCATCCCATCGATCCCTCCCATTAAAATCCAACCCACCATGTTCCTCACCATCCTCCCCGTCCTCCTCCTCTACCTCCTCTACAAATACCTCCTCCACCCCTACTTTTTCTCCCCCCTCTCCCCCATCCCCAACGCCCATCCCACCTCCCCCATAACCTCCCAATGGATCACCAGCAAACGCAGCCACACGCAAGAAGTCCACGCCATCTACGCCGCCCACCGCCGCTCCGGGCCCATCATCCGCCTCGCCCCGAATGAACTCAGCATCAACTCCCTCTCCGGCCTGCGCACCATCTACACCGGCGCATTCGAAAAACATCCCTTCTACAGCGATGCGTTTATTAACTTCCAGACCCCGAATCTCGTCGGCATGTTATCGAATCAACCGCACGCGCAGCAGAAACGGATGCTAAGTAGCGTGTATGCGAAATCATATCTGCAGAATTCAATGGATATGCGTGTGTTTTCGAGACATATCCTCTGGGAGCGATTATTTCCCATTTTGCAGAATCTGGTGAGAACCGGGGCGACGGTGAATGTGCTTCCGTTGTTTCAGGCCGTCGGGATGGATTTTACGTCTGCGTTTTTGTTTGGATTAGGGCATTCCACGAGATATCTATCTGATCTTGGGGCGTGGATGAACTGGTTAGATGAGTATGAGCGGTTCAAGCACCAATCTCGCGAGAAGCGGTATCGGGGGTTCATTGAGAGTTGGTGTTTGGGGCTGTGTGAGAGCGTGCAGGGCCCCTCACAAACAGAGGCAGATGTTCCGGCTACGGAAGCAGTGGTTTTTGATCGCCTCAAGGCGGGGTTGGAGAAATCCCCGGATGAAAGACCCTTGGATTTGGCGATTGCGTCGGAGTTGTTGGATCATTTGGTGGCGGGGCATGAGACGTCGGGGATTACGTTTACGTATATGATGTGGGAGATGTCGAAGTGGCCGGAGCTGCAGGCTCGGTTGAGGGGGGAGCTGGCGTCAGTGAAGGGGTCGTTGCGCTATGGGGGGAGGGATGAGGAGTTGCCTCCTCTGGCGGAGATTGATGGACTACCTTTGTTGGATGCTATTGTGAGAGAGACGCTGCGGCTACATGCCCCTGCTCCGGCACAGTTACCGAGGGTGACCCCTCCTGAGGGGACGTGGTTGCATGGATATAGGATTCCTGGGGGCGTGCAGGTGAGTTCGTCGGCGTATTCGCTGCATCGGATTGAGGAGGTCTTTCCGTCGCCGGAGGAGTGGATTCCGTCGAGGTGGTTGGATGTGGAAGATGGCAAGATCCACGATATGAGGAAGCTGTTTTGGGCGTTTGGGAGTGGAGGGCGGATGTGCTTGGGGAGTAACTTTGCATTGCTGGGTAGGGTATCTTTGCTTACTTGTGGGATGCTGCTAACGGGTGTAGAGATCAAATTGGTTATGGCGGCGGTGTATGCCAATTACACGACGAAAGTGGTGGACGATGAGGGAATTGAGCAGAATATGGAGTTTATTGCGTTGCCCCAGGGGAGGAAGCTGGTGGTGCGGTTTGTTCCGGTGGAGGGGGGTGCTTGATGGCAAGTTGCCAGTTGGTGTATCTACGGAATGCAGCTGCATGGCGGAAAAGGCTTCCGGAATCTTCATTCCTCTGCAGGTGATCCTGCTCTGGAATCAACAAGGATGCTTAGGACCTCAAAATTATTAGTACCACCTGCAGCTGATTCTCTTAGCTTAATCTAAGATCAAGTGACAAATCAATTCCTCAACTGAAGAATTCCGGTGAACTAAAGGGCGCAGGTGACGCATCACATGGATAGGAGATGATCAAATGCTGCATTGACCGCCGGTCAGATCCCACCTGCTGAGATATAAATACAGCTGACCCTACCCTCAATCACTACCACCATAAACACTTCGATTTCAAAATGGCGGCCGCCCCTCAAAAAGCAAAAATGCCGCTATTGAACCCAATGGCTCTGCTGCGCCGCATCAAATGGTTCAACTTTACCATGCTCATCACGATTCCGTTCATTGCATTCCTCTGTACCCCCCGCGTGCCACTTCTCCGTCCCACCCTGATCTGGTCCCTGATCTACTACATGATGACCATGCTCTCCATCACCGCCGGTATCCCCTCCCCCACCCCTCCCTTCACATCTACTCACATCATCAGGCTACCACCGTCTCTGGTCCCACCGGACCTACACCGCACCATATCCCCTCCGACTCCTCCTCGCCCTCTTCGGCGCCGGGGCCATCCAAGGAAGCATCAAATTCTGGGCGCGCAACCACCGCGCCCACCACCGCTACACGGACACCCCGTTAGACCCCTACAACATCAACCAGGGGTTCTTCCACGCGCACATCCTCTGGACCATCCTCCACCAACCCTCCCCCTCTACCTCTCCATCCACCACCCCAACCTCTAAACCCAAACCCAAACTCAACCTCACCGACCTAACCACCGACCCCATCATCACCCTCCAACACAAATACTACCTTCCCCTCTGCCTAACCATGGGCTGGCTCTTCCCCACCCTCCTCGCCGGACTCACCTGGGGCGACTACCTCGGCGGGTTCCTCTACGCAGGCATCCTCCGCGCATTCTTCGTCAACCAGGCTACCTTCTGCGTGAATTCCCTGGCCCATTGGATCGGCGAGCAGCCATTTGATGATCGGCGGTCGGCGCGGGAGTCCATCCTCACGGCGATACTGACCCTCGGGGAAGGGTATCATAATTTCCATCATGCGTTTCCGGGGGATTATCGGTGCGGGAGGGAGTGGTGGGATGTGGATGTGACGAAGTGGGTGATTGCGGGGTTGGAGGGGGTGGGGG